ATCGCACATCCTATCACTACCATATGTAAACTTATATTATTAAAAGATTATACTGACTACTAAGTACAATTTTCTATTGACAGTTTGTGTATAAAATGAAGTCTCCTCCTGACTTACCAGCTGAGTGCCGACGCAGAGAGCCAGAGACACCACAAGGCGTCGCTCCTTTGTGCTGGGACCACTCAAAGCATTTTCTGCCAGCACCAAAGAGGACAGCACATCCAACCGCTGCTCACTGTACTTCTTGTCAGAGATCACCCTTTTCTTGAGGGAGAGAATACATTTTTATTAAATGATTCAATTCAATGTTATTTATACAGCACAAAATCACAACAACAGTTGCTTCAAGGCTCTTTATACTGTAAGGTAGACCCTACAATAATGGTACACCATTCAGAAAACGCATTCAAAGAGCACATCTGCACTAATGTCAGTTTTACCATGTCATGGAATTTTCTGTTAATAAAGTTTGCAATACGATCAGCTGTAGGGAAGCCTTTTATTTCTGCATTCACAGTTATACAGTCATGAGAGCTCTGCCCTTAAGACGTTGCAGCAACCCTTTTATAATATCACACACACACACACACACACCCTGTAAGAACTTCTTTCCGCAGTTTCTTGTCTCCCCCCCCCACCATGCTGTTGCTGTGCAATACCTGGGCAGGAAGCAAACTCCTACACCCTATGTTGCAGGAAGCACCTGGCACTGGTCTTTCTGGGAGTTTCCTCCTTCTATGCCCTAACAGTCACCAGATAACAAAGTTAAGCAGGCTATATCAGGTCATATTTGCACGCCTGTCATTCAACCTAGAGATGAAGCTACATAAAACTTCTACAATGGAAATTTTAAGCACCTAAACCCAAATAAAGAATAAACTAGAAATGTTCCATCATAACCATTTTAAAGACAGCAACCCACATCTGTACTGAAATCTAAGGGGTTTGTCAAGAGATTTTCTACATTATACAATATAACCAAATCTCTATAATACAATATAATCAAGTGTGCCTTATATTTTGTGTGTTCATATATTTTCACATAACCGAGCTTATTGTTAAAGAGAACATAATGCATTCCTTACCTCAGTGTGTGATGTCAGATAAGCATGATATACTTCTGCATTGTTATTTTCAGTGTATGTGTGCAAGGTCAGATAAGCTGAGATAATGCCTGACCTCTCCCCTTTCTGTTAAAAGAGGAAGTACTATGTAAACTTACTTTCACTATAAATAAAGCAACCGAGCCTGCACTCGGTGTGTGTGTCTTCCCAGAGACATTCACCCGTGCGCACGTATTCTAATACTCTCTGAGTCGGTCTGCAGTGTCTTATTTCTCTTACTTGTGTTTGAACAAATGTCTACCCCTGACAGGGTTCTTCTTTGCTCAAGCTTCATCTCTAAAAATAACGTTTATGAAATTCAACTCTGAGCAACCTTGACAGAAAACGTAGTGGAAATGGTAACATAACTGTAATCATCAATTCAACTCATAAATTTTATTTATATAGTGCCAAATTAAAACAGTTGCCTTAAGGCAACATTGACAGGATTTATTGCTTGTTTCGTTTACCTTGGCAATGCTGATGGCACTGAGCGCCAGCGCCTGCAGCTGCTGAGTGATGTGAGAAACGGAGTCAGCAACAACCATAGAGCGTCTGTGAAACGTGTGCTCCACAGCCTGAGAGGAGAGTCACATGACATTCATTATTTTTCTCAATGCAACAGGTATTTAAACAGAGGGGCAACACTCAAACACACACACACACACCTTGAGTAACTCAACTAGTCGACAGAGAGCTTTGACCGATGTCTTGGTCATGGGCCGCTGCATCGACACGTACATGTTCATGGTCGTCTTGATAATGGTACTGACGGTGTAAGCATACAGAATACCCTATAAATGAAACACAACACTTTGCTAAATAACAGGTCAAACATGAATGTAAAGCTCCACACAACTTTATGAAATGAAACAGGAAGTAGATTTATCTAACTGAAGACGACAAATCAATAAAGTTACTTCTGCGGTGAGAAGATACTCAATGTAAAAAAAAAAAAAAAGAAAGAAAAAAATCATTCATGCATTCAGAGATTATACAAAATAAAAAGTCATTTGTTGGAATTGATATTTTTTATATTGTCATTTGTGCTTAGGAACACAATCATTTATGCTTAGAAATATATAATCATCTGTATGCTGATTCTTATTAGGGCTGATGAGATTCTGTGTGCACTCGTGTACCATGAGATGAGAGGAAGCAGCCTCGACGTTATAATTTCCATTATAGCTTTAGGAACTAGATTGTTCTGTTTCTTAAGAGTGCAAGACTTCACACCTTTAAATGTTCGTCTGAGACATGACCTGTTGCAAGTTCCTGTTCCTATCATTTAGCGAGACGCTTACTTCTGCTGTCCTGCATACACACAGTTTAAGTTCATTGAAAGGCCATATGTCAATTTATAGTGGTTAGACACACACACACACACACACACACACACACACGCACACGCACAGTTCAGATATGCCTGCTTAAGAATGTCACATGTATTTGTAATTGCATATTCATGAATGATTGCTCGCTGACAATAAAAAGAGCTGTAGTGAAGGAATCAGTCGAAGTTGGCTGAGTTCAGGTGAAGGAATCTTTTCCTCAACTTTGGCTGACTTCCCTCGCAAGCCACTAAACACGGAGAGCGCCTTCTTGTCTTGTCTTGTCGTGCAGTTGAGTGTCTTGTGTTCCAGCGGGGTTTGTGCCTAGATAAACCCAACACACTACTCACCTGTACAAACACATTACACCTGCTGTTAAGGTCCTCTTGCAACTTCTCACTTTTTTGTTCTTTGTACAAGATGGACTCCATCTTCATCATCCAAGAAGTTACAAACAGATAGTAGGACTGAATGTCCCTGAACACAAACAATATGTTTAGATACTTCACTTTATATTTAATAAATGTGGCTGACATTCAGCTTTACTCACTTTGTTAATGTCTGCGCTCTTTGTTGCAGGTATGTGTCTCTCTGTGCTTTGATGGCCTGTAGACTCTTCCTATCCATCAGTTTAGCTGCAGCAGGGACCTTATTGGTGAGGAAAGTGTCGGGAAACCAGATGATGTTTGCAACCAGAGTGACTGCTGGAACCTAAGTGAAGATGTGGACACACAAGAGCAGACTTTTAGTTCTCAGGCCAGATCAAAGAAAACAATGAGCAGGGACTCCCACTGAACAAGTAATAAAAAGTCCAAGAACAGAAATCCACCTTTTTACAGACATCGAGCAGCGCCTTGTAAAGCTTTTTGTCAACACTCCTGAAAATGTGAAAGTGAAGCACAAAGAGACCACAGACACCAGCATATTTGTCTCTCTGGTCAATTTCTGAAGGTTCGCCTGAAAAAGAGAAAAGAAACACAACCAGAAATAAGTCCGGCTCTGAAGAACAACTTAAAGGAAACTAGTCTATTGTGGAAGAAGAAACAACTGACCAATTTTGGATTCAACACTTGCAAATATGGTGCGAATATTGAAGGCAAACTCCTCAGCAAAGGCACTGTTTTTGGAAACTGCTACTCCCTCCCCAGGATCATCAAATCTTTGTTCGACACAGGCCTGTTGCAGATCATACGAATAATGTTCATCATATTATCTTCCCAAAAACCTCTACTTAACACTAATATAATAAACGCCAGAAGGGAAAGTCACCTGGAGTATCATGCCATCCAGCAGTTGCCCCTCCAGCTTGAGCAAGAGCTTCTCAAAAGGTTTCAGCTTGTCTTCAGGAATGGAAAATTTCCCAGGGTTATGGTGCACAGATTTCAGTAACCTGTGTAAGGGATAAACAGCAAGAGTGAACAGGAAGGATTGCAAGATGCTCGCGAGACCTTCTATAATGTATGGTTTGGAGATGGTGGCATAGACAGAGGTAGAGCTTGGGTTTTTCAGTGAGAGTGACCAGGATGGGTGTTGGGTCTGCACTTCCACAGGCCCTGCTGTTTCAGAAACGTATTCCTGTTAACTGTTAAGCAAGACGAACAGCTCAACCAGTTTTTCACATGCTAGCAAGGGAAGGATCTCAGAACAGCCCTTCTGCCGTCGGTGTCAGAACACTTCGAAGAACCAGCTTCCTCTGCAGCCTTTTATTTCTGTGACAGAAATAAAATTTACTTAAACAAATTTACTTAGTCCCTAAGTAAAGCGCTCCTAAGGACCCCAAAGCGCTTTACACTACAATCAGTCATTCACCCATTGGTGATGGCAAGCTACACTGTAGCCATAGCTGCCCTGGGGCAGCACTGACAGAGGTGAGGCTGCCAGACACTGCCGCTACCGGGCCCTCTGACCACCACCAGTAGGCAAACATGGGGTTAGTATCTTGCCCAAGGATATTTGGCATGTAGACTGGAGGAGCCTGGGATCAAACCACCGACCTTGCGGTGAGTAGGTGACCCGCTCTACCACCTGAGCTACAGCCATTCAACAATTTGACTCTAACAATGGGGAGGATTAGAAATGAGTATATCAAAAGGGACAGCTCAGGTTGAGCAGTGTAAAGACAAAGTGAAAAGGTTGAGATGGTTTGGACGTGCAGATGACTACACTGGACAAAGAATGCTGAATATGGCGTTACCAGGTCAGAGGAAAAGAGGAAGACTACAGAGATGCTTTTCAGATCTAGTGCGAGGTGTTCCCACACATACGTGGGAACTCCTCGCATGAAAAAGGAAGAAAAACATCGGCTAACTCCAACAAGTATGTAGATTTAAACTTATGTTTTCACTTAAGGGGCTGGCCTATATGAAGGCCACTTTGCAAAAACAAACTCCAGAAATATTGGGGCCAGTATAAGATTTGCCCCATATTCAGTTACATGTCTGTAACTGAATATATAGATTCCACGACCCAAGCAGGGAACAAAACCAGATGCATATATTTACCACTGAGTGTAAGTGCACATATATGTACGTGTGCACGTGTGATTGTGTGGAAGAAAAACCTACAAATGATAAATCAAACCACAGTACTTATGTGAACAAAAGACTGGGATGCAGTTCCGTATTGTGGCAGATATATTTTGCTTTACTTTCATAATTACAGGTCACATTCTCTTCATATTTATGAAAACACATGTCTACAGTGTACTATTTAACAGGTCAAGTGATCATTAAACTGTAGCTTATAAACTATGACTATGCAATGAGACACTTGTGTGACACGAGGAAAACAGCGATCATTCTAGAGTGAAGGTAAGGACAGAAACCTCAACATACATGAATGGAGGTTGTTGTGTTTGGCGAGTCCTGCCTGCTCCTCAGCATCATGTATGCAAACTGTTTTTTGTTTTTACAGAAACTTAATGTTTACCTATTTTTAGACTAAAATAAAAACAAACAAACAAAAAAAAAACCACAAGAGAAATGTGCTTTTATAGCCTTCTATACCCTTTCCTGTCCGAATGTGGTGATTTCTGGCCAGAGATGTGGAACTGCTTCATTGCATCTTTTACACTGTATGTCACATGCCATCATAGCTTACTGGGTAATTACCTTTTATACATCTTCCAGTGGTCTTTTAGTGTGTTGTGATTTTCCATAATCTCATCAAGTGTGAGCAGCACCACCAACAACTCTCCTAGGTGTTCGTATACTATCTACAAAGGAAAAGCAGGGCAGACATGGTATAAATGACTGAGTAACATCTGCAAATACTAAAAGTCTCACAAAATTTGAACCCTACCTGGAAATGGACACCAGAGGATTCTATGATTTTTGTTGCACCCCTGTAATTTAGAAGAAAGATAGTTTAGTACATTCTGTTTGATCATGACAGAGCAAAATACAGCCTGGGAACCAGCTCATGCTTCATTCGCTATAGCAAATACCCACGTCAGGCCATTCACAACCACTTATCTAATATGAGGTAGGTTGGATACAATGAGACTGTCATTGCAGAGTAGCTGAGGACTTTCATTAAATATAAAGTGCACACAACCTGCAATAAATCCTGCAAAAATAGTGCAATGACTGTAACATTATGGTCATTTATTCATGGTTCATACTTGTTGCTGTTGTAGAGTGCTGCCAGCTGATGCACAATACTGACCACCACTTCATAACATCTGGATACAAAGCAGGACAGCTCCTATGAAAGGACAAAGGAAAATAAATATTTCTGTCTTACAGACATCAGTAAATAAGATTATGGCAGAAATCAGTTACTACCCACCTGTAGGAATGAGACGAATCTGCCCATCTGAATCTGGGACTCTCCCTCAACAACACTGGTTTCAGACACTGTAAGAGAAATTCACACATGCCTTTTTTTAATCTTAATAAGCACTGTGTACCACAGAGGGCAAACCTAGAACAAAAACAACATGAAACAGTAAAAGTTGACAGATTACCTCCTTCTCCATAGTACAATAGGCCATTGTAGAATTTGGTTTCTGCCTTGAAAAGCAACAAAACGAGGCTAAATTAATATCTTAAAGAAAACAAAGTAAAAAAAAAAAAAGAGCTACTAAAATTGCTGAAAGTAACAGTAGCTTTACTTCCACCTTAGTCAAGAGTATGCAGACATGCCGATATAAACATGACATAATCATAAGCCATGCACAAAGTAACTGAGCTGTTTGACCACACTTACCTCATATTTAAGCTTCTTAACTTCACTACAGAGAGCAGCATAAACTGTGATAACTTTGTTCAGGACCTGCACACAACCAAAGTGACATTTGTTTTTGTTTTGTTTTTTAAAAAGAACAACTCTGTGGATATGAAAATGAAAAATGACTAATTTGTTTGTCTTTACTTACCTTATTGTCAGTTTTAATTAATTCTAATAAGGATGACTGCTCATAGGGAAGAAGCTGAAAGGGCATAAAGTATAAGGAAGGAAATTACGCAAGTTATAACTGTGTAAAAGCAATGTCAGTCTTTTCAACCAAGCCAGTATATTTGGGGGTTTTACCTTAAGGGCGATGGGGTCCAGAGTAAAGTCCCATACATCTCCAATGGACTCATCCAGAGCCTCTTCAATACCCTTCAGCTGAGAGGTGTACTCCTCCAGAAACTTCCTGTAGTTCTTCAGTTGAACCTCTGTGTGTATCTCTGTTGGGAGGAAGGTTTGACAACGTTACTGACTTTTACTAACCAGAAAAAAAATATGGGTTGATTTTCTGCCCTTCCTTTACAAGTTTACAACATTTTATAAGCAACAATGCTGCTCTTGCACTACTAGATTTTCATTAAAGAAAGAGACACTTGTAACTGTCCTTTAAAGCTCAAATCATGATTCAGATGCCCAATAGATTCTAAATTTAACCTAAAATGCGTAAATCTACACTATGCCTGGTTACAAGGTGTTACCAAACTACCTTTTCCAATAAATGTAGTTGACTAACGGCACATACAGGTCGTTCGTTCAGGTTGTCGTAAATAAATATTTTGAGAGCCTGAGAAGGAAAGTCACAAGGAGATAAACACAGGAAAGCACTGGGCAGTTTTCTCGCCCTAAACATAACATTAAAGAAAAAACAAACAAGTAAATTAAATGTGAGTAAGCGAAAGAGTACGGCGTTAACTACACAGTCAAAACCAGCTGTCAGATTGATCAGCTGTACGTGACAAACTGCGTCGATTTACGTTCGCCAGCTACAGCTAGCTATTAATTCCACTAATTTACTCCTTCAGTTTTAATTATTCCGGGGGTAGTAAATACTTACTTTTATTTTGATGGCATTTACTAAACATACATTTTGGGAATTAAACAGCAGTGTGCAGTTTCTTTCACTAATACGAAGCCCAGCTGCAACGCATCGAGCTAGCAACTTGAGCTAGCGGTTGATGCTAAAGTAGTAAACTTTAGCCTGCCACAGTCTTTCTTTGCATGTCAGGGCTCAATTGAGCACTTACTTTGTGAACCATCGTCAAAACGGTCAAACTCCCAGTCGGGTGAGATAATTTCCACCGCCATGGTGCTAGAATGAATAAGCGAAAACCCCAAACACAGCGCTGCTAAAAAGTAGTACTACACGATCCCATGATGGATCTCCTGATTCTCCGAAAGGCCGCTAATGCTCATGGGAAACTGAGTCTCTGAGGAAGGAACACTAGATGAGTTGACACTCAGGATAGACAGACAGATAGGTGTGTGTGTGTGTGTGTGTGTGTGTGTGTGTGTGTGTGTGTGTGTGTGTGTGTGTGTGTGTGTGTGTGTGTGGTGATGGGTTGTTAGAATATTGCCACACTGGAGATTGAACACACCATTCAGACATTAACAGAAACCACAAGGAAGAGTCACGCTCAGCAGCAGTGTGCCAGAAGAGATGCCCTCCTGTTGTTCATTTATGGTGTAAGAAAAGGGTAAGGCACATTTTCATTGTTTTTTAACTTGGAAAAAAAGAGACTGGAGTGTCTTAGATTAAAACAAGAAATGTTTCATTATCAAGGGAGTTTGTTATCAGAGGTACTGGAGAGATGGCGAAACACCAGGAAAAAGTAAGCAGTGCAAAATTCTCAACGGAGTCCTTTTTTCTGTCCTTAACCAATTTGATGTTAATCTTCAAACCGGATACACTTTTTTAAGCGTATCTGGTGGGTTCAGCAATACAAGAGTCCGCATTGATAACCGTAAAAACTAAGAACAAAATTATTTATATTTGGATTTATTACTGTTAGATATTTGTATGTTTTTGATCATTTAAGGGTTTGTTAATTAGAACCTGCTTAAACTCTTATCTTAATAAAAGTATATCTTTGTTATTATATGTTGGATGTCTTGTGATTATAAGATACTGTATTTTTGTTATATTAACATTCCCAACTGAAAAGAAGAATAACAAAATAAAAAAACAAAACAAAAAAAAGGACTAATTCGATTCTGACATAGTCTGTAATTTTTTTATTTTAGCTTGTGATAAAAAGTAGCTAAAAAGTAACACATTTTGTCCATTTCCCATCTTATAAACTGCCAACCTCAGTGGTTTAGTACCTGGTCATGTCTAAGGAATTTCAAATAAAGAGCACTGTCTCTGCAAGACAATGCAGCCTCAGTGATACTGATGTGAAACGGGCATGAAGAATGATAATTCAAGCTATCCTTGCAATCAGATGATTCTGAAACAGGCTTGTACAAGAAACCCTCTCTCTATCTCTATATGAAAGTGGCACACTTGGCAATGACACAAGTTTTTCTATTTCCTATTTAGATCAACTTTTTCTAATCATTGGCGTAGGAGCAGCTGGAGCAACATATCGCTGAACCAAAGTTTGCACCATGGTTGTCCAAGAGTCACAGGATACAAAACTGACCCACAGTGATTCTGTTTCCCCAAGCCAACAAAACAGATCCAACACATCTTTATCCCAGTTCTCTGGAAACTCACAGCATTTTACTTCTAATGAAAATATCTATTATGAGCCAGAGGAGTACACCGAGACAGATTTTTTGCTCCCAAATCAGCTTTATGGCAGGTCACGGCTCACCAGATCCCCTCAACCAAAAGATGCAAATGTCTCAGGTGCACCCGAAGAGTCCATCTGTTCCATGGTTGTGCAGATTCTGGTGCCATTTCTGTTGGCTGGGCTTGGAACAGTTTCTGCCGGGATACTGCTCGATATTGCTCAGGTCAGGAACAGAACACTGCAATGTTTAAAATTGTTTTCTTTACATAAATATTTTGCAATATGTATTTTATTTATATGTTTTTTGGGCAGAGCTGGGAGGTGTTCCAAGAAATCACAGAGATCTTAATTCTGGTCCCAGCTGTTTTAGGCATGAAGGGAAACTTGGAAATGACTCTGGCTTCAAGACTCTCGACTGCTGTGAGTGTGTAATTTTACATATTTTACTGAAAAACTACAAGCTTGAGTTTAAAAACATAAAGACAACCACTATTCATTCTATTAAATAAAGTTATGTTTTAAAAAGTTAAAGATTAGTAAAAAAAAAAGATACAATGGAAGGGTATACTGACAACAGCCAAATTCTCAATTATAATTCCCCCCCCCCC